AAAAAATTGGTATGTTATTTCAGAAAAAGTCCGATTTTGTGTCAAAATACCTATGTTAGAATAGTGCTATATATAAATCTAATATATATCCTAAGTCGCGCTTTCGAGACATGAAAAACGCAGTTTGAATTTTGTCAATCGCCCAGTAGAACGGGAGATATAGCACTGTCCCCATTTTTTTTTTGAAACCGTTTATTTATTTCTTCCATTTTGAGCAGTAGAAAAATAGCATTTTACTTTCATGTTATACAATGTTTTGCCATATTTTTTTACAAAATCCAGGGAAATCTTATCCTATTCTTGGAATAAAAAAATAAACAAAGTATGAAACAATTTATTATACAGATGAAAGCCAAACTCAAATATTACTTTTCTTTAATAAGGCATTTATCGTAGCGATGTAACGAGCTTGGAAATTCCTTTCAAAAATTCGGCCGTGCGCCTCAACCATCGTTAAGCTGTGCGTCGTCTCAAACGCTGCATAAGCCACCTCTTTTGCTGGAAAAGGTGGAAGTTCGGTTCGGACTGTACGGCGGAAGAAAAAACTCCCACTTAAAGATTCAAAAAAATTTGCCGTGTCGGCCGGGCGTTGTTAATCAAAAAGAGCTAAACTGTTTTGAATGCTCTTCGATTTTTGGAGAGTTTGGCCTTTGAGAGTTTTATTGTGCCTATTAGTCCACCAAAATTACACCTTTCTGTCCCAAAAACAGTGCCATCATCTTCCTTGCCGAATTGTTTGCATGCATTTCTTGGGTTTTGGGGGAAATTGTGCCCCCACTTGCATTGATTGCAATTCGTTTCAAGTTCACATGTTTTTCACCATGTTTCGCCATAAATCGATCGAGTAAAGAGTCACCATCTTATTAATTCCCAAAAAGTTAGCCATTCGCTGATTTTTGTGGTTGTCAAATTTTTGGAATCCATTGCACAAACTAAAAGTGGTAACCAAGCTTTTCGCTGATGATTTCGTGCAACAAAATAAACTTCGCGAAATTGGTGGAAAACTCAAAGAAAGTTCCGTTATTGTGAAATTTCCGATTTTACTTTCATACTTTTTCGAGAAGTTCGGCGGTAATATGCTGGTCTCCCACTTCGATTTCGTCGTGACATTGGTTCGGCCATTTTGAATCTTATGACCCCTGACGCACTCCACCTTCAGGATAATGTTGTCCCCATACACTTCAGAAGTGCCGAAGATTCTATCGGTTTACTTTTTTGCAGTCAGAAACCTTATTACTGAACCTCTCGGGTTTTCAAATTAACGCAGACATTTCAAACCGTCACATATCTGAACGGAGCACAGCACGAACCTCTCACTAGCACGGCTAGATGCAGACTGATGCGCAACGCGCTCACCCCAAATGGCCGCGCTAGCCCGCCATAGCGGACCAGACGGAAACGTATCTACTTCCTGGAATGGTATCTATATTTAAAATTTTATAAAATTAAATGTATTAATATCAAATAAAATAAAATGCACTAAAATACATAATGTATAGATATATTTTATCAATTACAACAAAGATGAAAATGCCCATAAAAATAGAAATCATTACAACAATTACATTATGTGGATTAAATATATTATTGATAATATCTTATATTATTAAAAATATAAAAATAGTATAAATTATTCAGAGTTATTTTTATTGCTTTTAAATTGTTCAGTTTGTTACACAAGTATGCTTAAAATTTGAGACATATATAGAAATTTGTTTACTCAAATGCAGCAAAGCTTGTAAAGGCTATCTGCCTGAGGTCAGAGATGGTTTTGTAAAGAGCTTTTTAAGGGTAGTTTGCTTACTTTCACATTACACATGGGCACAAACTACAAAAACATTCCTTCAACTACCCTGTTATCAAGTATCAAGGCCAAATCAAATTAGCAATATTTATTGATCTTACCTACTTGTTCAGATTACTTAAAGAGCTTATATTACATATAATGCAATACACTGAAAACAAGTTATTTATTAGATTTCATAAATGTAAATTAAAAATCTATGTTTCTGGGAAAAATAAAACTTGTGAGGCTGCATTAATGATAGATCGTAATACAAAAAAGAAGCCCCAAAATTGGAAAAATTCAATTATATGCATTTTTAACTCAAAGCCAGGAAAGAAACTAACAAATTTAAATTTATTTGAAAATTAAATGCATTAATATGAAAATAAAACACGCTATATCATCATATAACTGACTAAAAATAATTTAGTACAGAAAGATTATAATATAATTGCATGTAATTTTCCTGTAAATAAATTTAGCGCCTAAAATGTCTAAAACGAAAAGGTTTGATAAGATGATCAAGAATTACTGTTAGGTAACAGGGTAATGGTTAAGAGATTTGGTGAAAATGATATTTGAGCTACACCAGTTGATTCTGATCACACACATGTCATTTCGTAAGTTCAGAATTTTATTTTGAAGAGTATCCAGGAAGATATAAATTTAGCTGAACAACCAGAACTCCTTTATCGATTCAAATTCTAGTATTAAAATAAGTGCAAAATTCAAAAAAGTACTTCTCGAGTGCTTAGTAGCATACTAAGAAATTTATAAAAATCAGTCGGTGAATCCCTATAAATGGGGATAGCAGATTTTTGGAAAAAACTCAGACATGGAAATTACGAGGCAGCACAAGAAAACGCAGAAGAAGAGCATATTTTGCGAGAAAAGGATTGCCTTTTCTGGCAAAATTATTTTTGATGCTTATTAAGAACAATGTTGAATACGATTTAAAAATTAGCATGCATTGTAGAGACATTAGGTATTTTTGGAAGCAGGCAAGATGAAAAATTAGCAAAGCATCTAATCACAAACCTCTCAATTACGCGCCAAGCGTGCAGACCACCACACCACGAAGGCATGCCAAGAAGGCGGGAGAAATACCTTATAGCACTACATAAATTTAATATGTATTTTGATGAATTATTAATGATTTTTATAGACACATTTCTGATTATTATGTACTAGCAGCTTCGCTACCAACCTTCGTCTGGCTTTTAAATGTACCGGAAAAATGGCTGAAGGGAATACCAAACGTCAAATTTAAAAACTGCATAGAATTTTACTCTTCAGAACAACTTCAGAATAGCTAAGTGCCTGCGTTTCATGACGATGTGAAAATGGAGTGTGTAGAGTAAAATCTCGCTTTCCTATAGCCCATTACATCTCAAAATGACGCGATTTCGTCACAAAACATAAAATAGAAAAAAAAAAAAAAAAAAAAAATTCGAATTTCGAAAAAAATCACTTCGAGGTGCACTGGCTCTTGTCTAGATGCACCTATGTACCAAATTTCGTAGCCGTGGATCTATTAGCTTACGCGCAGCGCGAACGAAAAACACACACACAGACAGACTCTTTCTTTTATTATATGTAGAGACTAGCAGCTTCGCTGACAGCCTTCGTCTGGCTTTTAAATGTACCGGAAAAATCGCTGAAGGGAAAACTAAACGTTAAATTTAAAAACTGCCTAAAATTTTACTCTGCAGAAAAACTTCATAAAAAAAGTTATTATTACGTATAACAAAATTACAATGAAATAAGCAATATTCTTTAATACAAATATTAATTATCCTAATAAATAAATTAACCAACTTCCCTTTGCAAAATCTTAAGAACTCAAATGGTATAAAGGAGGTTAAGAACTTTGTTTCCTAAAAAAATCACTCAAAACTTTTCAATACCTTAAAAATAGTGAAATGAGCAATAAATAAGATAAAAGAATAATAATAAAAAAAAATTCTGAAAAGCAACGTATAATTAATGATATTTTATTTATTTTATATTTTCAAGAGAAAAAAATTACACTGAAATAAGCTATATCCCTTAATACAAATATTAATTATTCTAATAAAAAAAATTAATCAACTTTCCGTTGAAGAAAAAAAAATCATGAAAAACTTTTCAATATCTTACAAACATGAAATGAAAAGCAAAAATAACATGAAAGCAACTCCCCCCCCCGAAAAAAAAATCCGCGCAGAATTTTACTCTGCAGAACAACTTTATCAAAAAAATCAATAAAAATGTATTATATAGATATATATATAAATGACAATAAAATATACCAATCTCTTAAAAACAGTGACATAAGAAATAGGATGAAATATTGTTGCCAAACCCATATTTCTAAAAGAATGAAACTATTCAAAATGATTCGATTTCATCAAAAATCTATCAACAACAATAAGACAGGAAAAATTGTTGCCAAAATCACATTTTTAAAGATGTGAGATGTGAGAAGTGTATTAGGAAGCTTCATTAAAAATTTTTTTTAAAATACAAAATATTATCATTTTTCCAAAATTCTTTTTGTAAAAGCAGTCGCAAGGAGGAAAGTTTAACGTGTGCAAAAATCAAGGAAAAATAAACTGTATATTTTTTAAAATAAACTTTTTTAGAAAAAATACCGTTGAAAAGGTGTTAAGCTCACTTTGTTAAATAAATTCGTATTTAATCGATTTATTGATTTATTTTGAGTTCGTAAAATAGCTAAGTGCCTACGTTTCATGACGATGTGAAAATGGAGTGTGTAGAGTAAAATCTCGCTTTCCTATAGTCCATTATGTCTCAAAATGACGCGATTTCGTCACAAAACATAAAATTTAAAAAAAATTCTAATTCAAATTTCGAAAAAATCGCTTCGAGGTGCATTGGATCTTGTCTAGATGCACCTATGTACCAAATTTCGTAGCCGTGGACAGACTCTTTCTTTTATTATATGTAGAGAAGATGTCTGATATTATAAAAGAGAAGTATTATAATTTTGTTGATTTATGAAATCTTCAATTTTTGTGCTAGTCGTTTGTTTGATGTAGCCTGATTTAGTATAATATTGTACTTTTAAGGAAATTGACAATCATGCATATGCAGGGGTATGCATTTGTACCAAATCAATAATCAGAAAAACTTTAAAAATAACTTAAAATGAAAAACATCCACTAAATAATCATTTTAAAGAAGTCTTCTTTGACTACAGAGAAAAAAGTACTTTATCTGGTCTCATGCATCTCAGCACTAACAGCTTCTGAAAACCATTTGTAACTTCTTGCCACTTTCCTGGAAGTTCTATATTATGTGGCTCTTTAGATTCATGAATTTCTTTCCAGATTTCAGGACTGGAAATAAAATCTTCCCTATAAGAACAAAATTTATATGCATTATTAATGTATCTATTTTTTATGATTCAGCTCATATATATATATACAGCAGAGAGTTTAATTGTATATTCAGAAGTACATAATTACAGTATTAATAAATTCAAACGAGTTATTTTGATATGAAGAAAATGAAATAAAAAGCATGGTTAGACAGTTTTTAATCCATAAAAAATATGCCAACTGCATGCAAATTAAAAAATTAATTCTACAAAAACAGCTTAAAATTTCTATCTGGAACGATCTTCATTTGAAATACAAAAAGCAAAATCTGTTTTTATATTTAGCATTCTAGAAATGAAGGGATAGAGGGTTAATATTTTTAAGCCCAACAATAGTTTAGAAATTTTTGTCACATATATCTGAACAGAAGGAATAAAATATATGAATCATATTTCCTCGATTCCATAATAAACCTTTTGACCTTTGTAAGCATTTATGAAAAAGATGTGCATCTTAAAATCATAGTTTTACTTTTCATGGTTCTCCACATTCTGGACATAGCATACTCGGAAAACTTTATAACTGACCTAGCACAATAGAATTTCAAACAGTGGATATTTGTCCAAATAGATTAAAACATTATGTAACACAAAACGTAGAGGCCCAATTCCTAGTGTCATGTGACATTCATTGACATGTGACATTCCTAGTGTCATGTGACATTCCTAGTGTCATGACTAGTGTCATGTGACCTAGTGTCATTCCTAGTGACAACAATAGTCACTGGATGTTTCAGTCAATGAATTATTTAAGTATTACTTGCAAATATAAATCTTGGATGTTGATTAAAAAATTTCCACTAACATATTTTAGATAATAGAAAAGCACTATCATCACAGAATGAGCATCAACAGCCGAGTAACTATTCCAAAAATCAATGATGCAGTACTCTCATTAAAAATATTAACAAGGGCCCAATTAAAATAACATAAGGCCCTAGAACACAACATTCTTTCAGAAGCCTCCAGCACCCACTTTTGTTATATTTATGAGGGGGAGAAAAAGGATTACCGTATTTGACGGCATATAAGACGCACCTTTATTTAGAAGGCCACGCACAAGGAAAAAAGTTTCAATAGTCCGCGCGACAGCGCAGTACCACAATAACTTAAAATGTGGTTTCTTTTAGTTCTCACGTTTTGTAAAAGCCAAATAAACAATCATTGAATGCAATTGCCAAACGTATTTTTATTAAGGAAAAATTAACAAACGGCAAGCTATTTTGAACATGATATATAAATTTTAATAATGAATAAAAGAATGAACGGCAAGCAATCAAACATAATACAAAATAAAGCAGAAACAACAAAAAAGACAGATTCAAGGAAAACGTTGCCTATCATTGCATTTTCTGTGCAATAGTTGTTTTTGTGCTCATTGATAAGTCTTGCCTTTTCATGAATTTGTAGTACTAGCCCTCAGACCTTGAAAAGTTCTGATTACCATGTTTTTCTACAAATCCTTTGGCTTCATTGATTATCATTTTAGTTGAAACACTTATCCCAGATTTCCTCTTATCTATCACCCACATTTTTACGGCATTTTCAAGTTCAGGCCAAGATGGAGCTGGGCATCGAAGGTTATGTTTTTAATTTTTAGCAGTTTTCAGTTGATCTTCCTGCAGTCGCCAAGTACGTATCATTTTTTCGGTAGGTGGTGGATCGAAATGCCTTGCTGCTGCTCTGTTTCCATGCACTTTGGCGTAGTTTAACACTCCTAGTTTATACTGAATAATGAATAGCTTAATCTCTTGTTTCCTGTAGTCATATTTTCCAGGGTATTTTTTTTAAAACAAATAGTTTTAAGCACCCATACTGACACGTTTATACAGAGTAACACCGATACGGACACGTGTGTCGGCTGAGTCAAAGAAAGTCATATAGACGTAATGTGACCATCGAATCTGTTCGAACTTCGACATCAGCTTCGAGCTTTGGCGCTTTTGGGTGACAGATATTTCACGCATGCGCAAAATAATTATGGCAGATGTAGAAAACGTTATATGTGTCTAGACCTTTATCCGGGCTAAAAATAGCATTCAGTATTGAACGTTAAAATGTGTCCTTCACGTATAAGACGCAGGCAACTTTTTTGAGACCAAATTTAGGAAAAAAGTGCGTCTTATATGCCGTCAAATACGGTAAACAGAATTATAGGATTTATCTAGTCAACTAAAATATGGATCATCAGTGGACCTAGACAATAATCTAGCCCAGTTGCTAATATTTTCAGCGGTTTACAAGAACGTATATTTTGGAATAATGAAGATGGCTCAGAACTATATGATAATGAAAAGTTTCAGAAGAATCAATATTAATTTAAAAGTGAGTTTTGAATAGCATATCTGTACAATTACTTAATTGAAGCAGTTAAATTTTGTTACAATAAAAAAAGGTTAAATATATTTCGAATTTTATTTTCAATTTGATTCTTTTAGAATCAAAATTCCATCCCACTTGTTGGTGATAGTAAAAGGATAAGTGATGTGTCTTACAAATGATTGCATCTTATGACGAAATAATATATGTGTATAAAACATGGATTAATTTATTTTAGTACATATGAAAAACTTGTAATATACTTTTAATGAAAAGTGTAAATTTTATTATATTTATCTGCATAAAATAAAATTTGAAGGCAGCTTAAATTTAAACAAAAATTACTTAAGACCAATGAAGACTTTAGTATCTGAGAGCCTGCAAAGTTCATCCCAACTTTTATCTAGCAACCAAGAAGAAGCTGGATTTGGAGTAGTATTTTCAAGCCCAACACCACCAGTTAGAAAAAATTTGAATTCACTTTTCTGAAGTTTCTTTTGAGATCTAAACAATAAAAATTTTATAATAGTTATATTACATACATAAAACGTGAGCATATAAAATATGTAAATAATGAAAAATAAAAAAAAGCTGTTGCATAAAAAATAACAAAATTTTAAATTTTATTTTTATCAAAAGTGAGTATTAATTAATGTTACAGTCCAATACAAAAGAAGCGTAGAATTTCTTAATTTTTGAAACCTTGAAATATCTTTATCCTAAGGTTTTAAAAATTACTTGTAATGTAGGGTAATTACCTGTAATCAAACTGTTACCTTTTTTTAAATGCCTCAGGAATACTCAGTATATCCTTTTGTGATTAACGAGATTAACAAATACTATTAAAATCTCAAATAGAAAAGATACTGTAAATATACCTAATCCGTTAAATTGTTAGTAGGATCACAGCTACTTATCATAACAGTGTAAAATTAAAAAGCAGAGAAGCTATATAAATATAAGTATTTACCTAATTTTTGTTTTGTGTTAATAATATGTAAGTTTATGAAAATGAAAATTAATTTTATAAAAATCAAGAAATGAATAAATATGCAAACTACAAGTACATTCAAATCAGACGTTGCAAATACCAGCCAGTTATTTTGCTGGCAATCAAGCAAATGATGAAACACACTTTTTATTTGATTTTAGGTCATTGCAAGGACATTTTTGAAAGATAATGTAATATTTTTTAGACTTAAATCTTAAAAATTTATAATTTACATTTTAAATTAAACTTGAGCAGATGCTATGTTATATTTTTAAATAGAGAAATCTTTTTTTTTTTACTTACATTAGAAGATTGCAACAAAGAATGAAAGAGAACAGAAGTTTATCTTTCTCAAACAGGGATCGACAAATGTTGCAATATAAACTATATGTAAAATAATCACTCAGATTCTTGAGTCTTTCAGACAGGTCATCTGACTTTTCACTGTATGAAAAATATAGAATATGAATATAAATAATGTGCAAAAATATGCATATTAAGTAATTAAAGTATATAACGTAAAATTAAATGCTAGCATAAGTTATTCATTTATGCATGAAATTAAATTAATTGCTGATTTAAACCTAATATTTTGAAAAACTAATTAATAATAAAAAATTAAGAAAGTAAAGTTCTTAAAACATTGAAAAATGAAGAATTTCAGAGCTTAAAAGTTGAAGTTTTACACTGGTGTGTTGCTCTTCCTATTTGACTTCACAACTTGTTTTCCCCCAAAATAGCTGTATATGGTTATATTCTTATATTCAATATAGTTCTAAGAAATCGGATACTTTTTAAATAAAGACAAAGGACTGTTATAGTATTTCTGTCAAAGTCTTTTTCAAATTTCTTAGGTGCAAAAAAATAGGGAGAGTAATCTAACATAATATCAGATAATTGTGTTTTCACCATTCACAAAGTGACAATAGACCCTGAAACATTTATGAACTTATATGCTTCTTTTAAGCGTTTCTTTTTTGTACTCTGAAATCATTAAGAAGTTCAAATTGTAGAGTCATTAAGTACTTTTTGAAAGAAGGAGACATGAAAAATCAGCAGTACCCTCGCCGAGACTCGAACCGCGAACCTCTGGAATGCGCGTCGAGTGTGCTGACCATTACACCACGAAGGCGGGAGAAATACCTTATAAAATGCATGATAATAAAAGGAAGTAAAGGGAAGATACTGTAAGGTAATGAAATGCAATTATCGAAAGGTGAAAATAATTGTAGTAGGTATGTGAGGATGTGCATTTGATACCTTACAACGTCTCTGCTAAAGCTCAGACCTTGTTTCCTCAATTATTATGTACTTTGAATCCTTAAACTAGTTCTCAGGGGATGACAATATCAGCGTAATGAAGTTGAATTAGCAGTGCCTTCCTGGCTGCAGACGCAATCAAAAACGATTTTCTGGTGAAAGCAAGAAGTGGTGCAACACCGAAAGCCATATATTGAAAAACAAAGTGATCAGGTAAATAAAAATATCACTTTTACGCAGCCAACCATAGATTCTGCAGGAACAGCAAACATTAGAGACAAACAATTACATCAATAAACTTTTATTTAATTATTTAATTCTGGGAAGTTCACAAATAGATTATGACGTGCTTAATTGATATAAAAATACACATATAATGACTCTTCACATAATGAGCGCCGACAAGAAAAAAAAAATGACTTGCATAATAAATTTAGTCCCACAATACGAAATACACACGAATTTCATCATTGAAAGCAGAATTAAATTTTTTAAACTGTCCGAAAATATAAGAAAAAAAGTCTATGAATAAAAAAAAAGATAACGAGCAAAGAAGCAGGCAAATAAACATATTTCTTAACATTATGTTCTAAAGGGTCGTTCGCACTAAGATTTATCTGAGCTAACGATGTCAGTTCCATGTGTCGACTATCTTCGCTATTCAATCATTCATTTATTATTCCTATCACCGAGATATTGCATTTAAGATGCAACGTGTCCGGCTCAATGATACATAAACCCAGTGGGCGTATGACGGTGATCTGTCTGGACCGTGTAGTGGGGCTCCGCTATGCATGCATTCAGATTTTTCAACTTGCTGCCCTATGAGGAAAAACTGGTTTTAGAGATGGATCGGCAAGAGATCAGCAATAAGAGATGCAAACTCTCCTTGATCAGGATCATGAGGAAGTATGGAAGAAAAATTCTTCTGGTGAGAAAGAAGATAATGCAAATAATCCATTTCTACTAATTATATTAAAGACCTTCTGGAGAAGTGGAAATTAGTAGAACTGATAGCACATTTCTTAAAGAAAAGATTTATTTATTTTAGAAGTGTGAAAGTCACAACAAAGCAGTGGCTCCCAATAAGCTGAAATGAAAGGAATGGTTCAGAACAGAAATGCTGTTAAATAACGATGCCATTCACTATTTCAGGACCATCCCAAAGATGAGGAAGATAATTTTACTGAACTTCTAAGCCCTTTTATATAACATCTTGAATCCCGGACCTATTACAAAACAAAGCCGGAGATACAAAAAGGTAAAGCGCAACTAAGTCTTCGGTCTCCAGTGAAAGGCTTATAAGGCTGAGACTAAATGGAATTAAAAAATTGAGAGTATGTTGTACATATTTAGTATATGTAAATATTTTCTGTAACCAATAAATTAGTAAATTCCTAGTATTTCCAATCCATTGTTTTTAGTTTTTTTAATAATCTCTATATTTTACGATGTTTCACGATTCTGGGAACAAATTCAAATTATTCCATAGTAATCTTATAAGGTATTTCTCCCACTTCCCTAGCGTGCCTTCGTGGTTTAACGGTAGCACGCTGGGCCGGTATTCCAGAGGTCCTGGTTTGATTCCCGGCGAAGGCGGTTGCCTATTTTTCATCTTTTCTGCTTCAAATTAACCTAATGTCTCTAAAAGTGGCGCCCGAACTAAAAGGGTTGTGGATGATGATTCTCTGCGCCCAGGATTTGGCGACTAGGTCCCCTAAAACCCTAGTCGCCCTTTAAAAAGGGGAGTATATAAGGTATTTCTCCCACTTCGCTAGCGTACCTTCGTGGTGTAACGGTAGCACGCTGGGTCGGTAATCCAGAGGTCCGTGGTTCGATTCCTGGCGAAGGCGGCTGCATATTTTTCATCTTGCTTGCTTCCAAAAAATCCTAATGACTATGGGGACAATGTCCTTCTTGCACGCATTAATACTAAAACATATTTTCAATACATTTCTGGGGATGGGGATCAAGAGCACCATTTGTTTCACCGGCAAAGCCCATGATTACCTTCCCTGTCAGAGAATTAGCTATCTCATTATTTTTCACTTGATGTTACATTTTGAAACAGCACATCAAAAAATAACTATGGAACAAATCTCTGCGCGTTTTTTGGTCTTAACATCCGATAAACATGTGATTTCATATTTAAGCTGTGAAAGAAACTTATTGCATGTAAAATAATGAACAATTGTAATTAAGAGTGAAATTGAATTGTGAACAGGAAAATAAAACTCATTAAAAATATTCTTACCTCAGTTTAATAGCATTTAAGAAAAGGTTAATAAACCAGTTTAATGAATACTGATACATAGGATCTACATTTGGAAGACCCGTAATTGAGAAAAAAAGTACAGAAGAATGTTGTGCAACGTCTTTGTAGGACTGGCGAGATTCATTTATGTTTGCCGTGGTCTCATCAGCAATCTAACATACAAAATATGAGAAAAAAAAACATAAATTCAAATATTCTACTTGCACCAAAAATAAATAGTCTATCACAAGTAACAATATTTTAATTCCACGAAGTTCAGTAAAATTGAGTAAGTAATGCTTTTATTTGCAATTATTATCACTTTAAACTTTAGAGAACTTAGAAAACTTCTTTATGGAACTGCAAATTTATTAAAAACACAGAGATAGAAACAGAAAAATTTTCACCTTTTGTTTTGCTTTAATATCATCCACGAGAAATTTTGAAGAATCAAGAACTTCAGTGGCTTCTTCGTTTTCTAAAATATTACTGCCTTCAGACTGGGCTAATGTAAAAAGAATCTTATCCTCCAGTTCTTGTAAAGCTTTTTTATTCGCAGCAGTTTGTACAATTAATTGTTGTCTAGCTTCTTCCAAGTCAGGTCTAAGAAAGAATTACCAAAATTTAAATTGATTCAAGATTTTATGTTATAAATATAAATATTTTCTAACAAGTGATAACGCAAGAAAAGGAGTTAGAAAGAAAATATTTATACCACTTCAACTGCTAGTAAAAATATTTTAAAAAATAATATTAAGTGCACGGTTTATTCTTTAATACAAAATTTATTCGTTGAAAAGAAAGTGAGTATCAGTTTACCAGTGAAGTAGTTTTAAGTAAAATTATAATAAATACTCACAGTTAAAAAACGTTTGCCCATTCTTTCTTTTTTAAACTTTATACATTAACATTTCATCAAACTTTATGCAATCAAGCCTGATTATAACAAGCTCAAAATTGAATCAGCTTGTGATGAACAAACGCTATGATAGTTTCAATACTTACGTATTGTTATGTAATTCCTCTTTTTTATAATGAAGATGTTAAATGCTACTTCTTACAAATATTTGCAACTACGTGAACATACGGAAATGATAAATTTTACTGTGATAACATGAAGACAAGTAAATAAAAATCAAGAATGACAATTTTGTGAGTTTACTAGAAAATATAATTTTTTTTTTTTTTTTTTTTTTTTTTTTTTTTTTTTTGCGAAAAAATTAAGGTTAATAATGAGGCAACATGCTGAATATTTTAAAGAAAATTGTACAATAAATAAAGTGACATCTTTAAAAATAAACACTAGTTTTTATATTAAATAAGAAGAACATTTTAAATCAAACATATTATTAATCAGTATGATTTTTAATCATTAAAAATTACATGTTCAATAAGATTTTTAAACATTGCGAATTACAATATCTTCGGAAAAATTTGTTGTTTTATACTTTATTTAAAATTTTTTGAATTAGTTTACTTTTAAGTTATTAAATTAAAAATAAAATATCAAAATAAAACTATTCTAAATATTAAGTTTATTATCATTTATATAAGCACACTGATAACAATATAAAGTTTTAATAGTTGTAATATTATCTTCCTCACATCTTCGTTTTTGCTAGTAACGTCATACTCTCTTTGCTATGATAAAAAGTATTCGACATTGAAGACTGTTTGCTGAATTTTCACGAAGTACTTGAGTACTACAAAGTCAGGAGAACGTAAAAAACCCTTTATTAACTCAAATAAAGTTTACAGTCGGCACCAAGTCGGGCTTACAAAAGCCACCAGAACTTTTGGCTTAATTCAAAAGGTAATGAATAATTAAAAATTAAGGAAGTTAAGTATAACCTAACGGCTTCAACTATCGCGCAAGCTGGTTCTGACCCCAAAGTCAGTGTAAACAAGCCTGATGGCAAGAATACCTCAACGCCGCAGAAATCTAATCGCTAGAGAATCAAAGATATCAACGTGGCCTCCAAGCAAGCAGAACGCGCTATTTCACCTTCCAAATCTTCCCTTAAATACTAACTTCTTTCTACCTCATTTGAACTGACGCGCGCTAGTGAATTTGCATTCGGGCAAGAAAGTATGCGTTCAAAGCACGAGCGATAGGAAAGCTGAGTGAATATAAAATAACTATTAAGTAAATTAAATACCCTCCAACACACATAATGTGGTATATATATATATATATATATATATATATATATATCCATAGTATATGTTTTAACATACTACTAATAATTTAAAAATAAGTTGTAGTTGAAAAAAATGTAGTAGAAAATGTAAAAAATAAGATGTAGTTGTAGGAAGTAACATGGAAGTATTAATGATTAAAGCTAAAATGATGAATAATAACCTTAACAAGGAAATTTTTGTAGCTCCTTGGAATTCATTATAAGCAAGCATATTCTCAATTAATATACACGAAATTTTAGCATCTGTAACAACACAAAGACATAAAATATAAATAAATAAAAATAATTTTAAAAAAGTTAGCAATAGATACTTTTTAGTTATTAACTAAGAGGTTTTATAATAAATACGGTTTTCTGTTTCTTAGGACAAAAATACTATAAAACAGTCGTTAGTATTATAAGCTCCAATTTTTTTTTTTTTTTTTTTTTTCAGAAAATAGAAATAAAGATGTTCAACAGGTTGGAAAAATTATTTTCATAATTACATATTTTAACTCTTTTTTTTTTTTTTTTCAAAATTACATAAGTAAAATGGATTACATATTAAGAATTAACCAAAGCAAATTTATTTAACTTATTCTAACACAAATGGTTTAAGGGATTTTGGACCTCTCCTTTCAAGTATACGTTTATGGATCTTCAACATGGGTTTGAAATTCTATGTACAGTGTCCCTATTAAAATTTCAATTTTAATGTCTGTTCTGACTATCTGAATATTACGTAATTTTCTATCATAAATCCTTTTTGTTTTGAAAATGAAAGTAATAAATACTTATGCAATACTTTTCCTATAATAACAGTTTTCTAAGTAAATTTTTTTAACAAATTGCAGATTTGCTAAACATCTGTAATATCGCTACAGGTCATATTAATATGTAAATGCTGATATTGAGACACAATATAAAAATCCAATAATGAAGTCAGAAGGATTATAACACACCAAGGCAGGATGTTTATAATGCCAGACAAACAGCTTAAATAAACAGTATAGTAGGTTAATTTTCAACACAATAAAATCGTACACACAAGTATCAAGACGTAAAAAAAGCGCAAATATATAAATTAAAAGTAGAATAAGTTGTTATGTAGTAAAATGTCTGAATTTATCGACAAGAGAATTAATTAGCGTAATTGTAATTATTTAAAAAACTGGAATTATTCTAGTGTAATTTTGTTTCCTTATTCTTTGACTTAAGAAGATATTATTTTTTTTATTTCACTAAATTATTTATCTGAAAACAAGTGCTTCGATGATTTTTTTGTTTATCAAATTTAATTTGAAAATTGTGAAAATAAGGAAATAATTCTTGTGTAAAATCAGGAAGGCTGGCAGTGTTTTTTGCTGCGCCATTCGTTTTTCAAATTACGGGAAAGCGTAGATCGTTTTCGAAGCTTTTTCATTGTTCCTTACCCTGCTTGAAGATTTGAATAGGTGATTTTCCTTCAGTATAGGTCAAGGGTTAATGTTAGTTTACGCGAAAAGGTCAACGGGTTTGAACCTGGCGGAGTCCACTGTTGGCTTCCGGGCTTACTGATCGTGCTTGCGCAAAGGGTTGTTTTTGACTGATTTGGCGGGAAAATGGTAATTTAGTCATTATGGGGGTGCGAAACTTGAAAATTTTGGTATCTTGGTGTTTTTTTCCTTATCTTGGTGAGGACTTGTTGATCTCGTCACTTTTTGGCTGACTTTCATGTAGTTCGGGTGCTCGCGACTTTTTTCAGCCAGTTCTTCGTTAGGAGGGAGACTTCAAAATGCGATGTTCCGAGAGAAAATTCTGCGACTCATTCCCAGCGTAGTAAAGAAATTAGAGAAGGATGAAAAATCAACAGTTTTTGATTCAACAGTTTGGCGAGAATTTAGTAGATTCTTCGACTGCACCTTTTCTGGCTTCTTGGCGAACTCACCATTTTTCTTTCTTTTGCTATGGCTAGCAAGTATGACTCGACGAAATGCCTTCAGAGTCGATGGCTGGACTCTTCGCTGCAATCCATGAACATCAAAATTTATATGCGTGAAATTTGGCAGGACGTTTTAAGATTCTCTTTTGAAATTACTAGTGAAGGATATGCCTTTGTGAGTTTTTTTCCTAGAAGACTTAAGTAGTTCCTAAGCTCATCGGCTGAGCTGGTGTTGTTTCCGAGAGGGAAAAGTTTCTTTTCCGGGCAGATGCTGCAGCTTTGTTTAACATCTAACCTCCCTGATCAATTTCACATTCATTAACGTGTACTGCCAAGAACTATGAGTGTGTTCGTCTCATCCATGGGTGCTGTTCATGAGATTCTGTCTCCAGAATATTTGAGTGTGACCCAACCTTGAGTTCATTGAGTTTTACTGATTTTCGACTACGCATGTTCCAGTTATTTTCAAAGCTTCTTTTTTTTCCTCAAGCTTCCGGTCATCTTCGGCGAGCCATATCGTCACAGATAAGTTTTTTACGTTACCTTTATTTTTTCCCGATTACATTTTCATCCGCTTAACGGATGGAATTTTTAATGAACAGTAATTGACTTTGCAGCCTTCCTTGATTTTTTTTTTTTTTTTTTTTTTTTTTTTTTTTGTGTGTGTGTGTGTGTGTTGATATATTTACAAAACTTAAGGCCAAAAATTGATATTTGTACTATGTTAAGTAAATTACCTTTTTCGCCTATCTGCCCGAGGAAAGAATTTTATTCTTGAATTGAATGATTAATATTTGTTTTTCCTGTAACTAAATGTAAAATATGTGAAACAGCAGTTCTACTAGTGAACCTGGAATATAATTATAAGAAAAGAAAGCATGATAAGTTTGGGTATTCTATCTACTTCCATAAAATGTTAACTAAATCAATGTTTCATTGTAATAAAATAACCTTGTAATATTGCGCGCTTCCAACCTACATGCAACAATAGTGGTGACTGCTAAGAACTGCAAAGTAGACAAAGTCTTGAGAAGGGTTTAAATCCCTTTTTATTCAACTTTAGAAATTACAAATGCGTGCTCTTGACGCTCACAAACTACGCCGACCCGGCGGTAAAATAAAAATAAGAAACTAAAAAAGAATAATAACAAGTGACTAACTACGAGGCTCTCTAAACGTAACTAACCTCACCGCGTTCTAAAGATACCGCTGATAATTCAGCAAACTTCTGAATATTACGTTGAAAAGATTAACAATCTGCCGAGGCAAGCACACAGGCCGAAACGCGTGGTTCTTCAATTTCTAACTAGCCACCTCCACGCTCGTGAAGCAAGAAAGCACACTTTCGAACTCGTTTCCTTCTTCTATTTAACTCAGATTACTTCCGCTGACATATTTGAATCCTTTGCGCGTTCTACTAAAATTTACATACTCTGGCATTGGCAATTCCAGGGGAAAGTAAAGGCTTAACAGGAAAGATAGTTTAAACTTAAAATAAATGT